TTACGGTTTATGGCTTACAGCCTACTGCTATTGTCTATTGTAAACTACGTATAAGAGTACAAAGAAATATAGAGCACAAACATTTTTTAAAAGATAAATTAAAAACGTAAAAATAAGAAAATAAAAGTATATACAAAGTAAAAACGGTAAAAGTAACGACAAATTCGTTACCGTTACTACAATAATGTAACGATGTTACCGTTACAGAGAGAAAAATGTAACGATCGTTATTAGAAAAAAGTAATGAAAACAGTAATGGCGTTACAAATAACGTGTTATTGATGAACTAGACTTGAACGCTCACTGCTTACTGCGGTGTGCGCTTACTGTGAGATCGTCTGATGCTTTGGCGAAAATAAAGATCGGATCGTAAATCAAAAATATAGAGAAAAATAAGAAAAACATAAACGAAATTTTTAAATAGCTTAAATTAGAACTAAAAGAGACTTCTTAAAAGGTTCCTTATTTATTTCATTTTATTCTACAACTTTTATTTTCGCTTGTTTGACTGTAATATATGCATCTCCAGTTCTTATTCCCGATTACATATATATATATATATATATATATATATATATATAAAACTAATTATTTTCTTTTATAATTCAAAAATTAAATTACGGACAAAGTTGTGCGAAAGAAACGATCATCTCAGCATTTATAGAAATATATGTTTCAAGAACTACGAATAGTTTATGAATCATCTTGTAAATATCATATTGTAGATGTCATATTTTAAATTATATGTACCATGGAGTGGAAATTAGGCGTGATGAAGAGATAAGAGTGAGAGAAAGACTCAATGATGTAAAGAAACAGAGATGGAAAGTGAGGAAATGTTTTATAAAATCGATAAGCATTTTAAAGAATAGAAAAATTGTCGGAGGCATTCGTACGCATAAGCAGGACCTTGTCTTGATACTGTGTATTTGTATAAATCAAGTACGGAAACTAATCGAAACGTTCGAAAACAATAGAGTATTTAACAAAAGGTTGTAAAATAAGAAACAAATTAAATAAATATTACATGTATATGTATGTAAATTAATACTAATCCCAAAGGTAATCAATAAATTGTCAATGGTATTTGCAAAAAGGAAGGAGTTATATTGAAATTATTTAAATGATCCATTTAGTTTTTGCTTTAAATAAAAATAAATAGAATTTTCCGTTAATTATCCATAATTGCTTATCCATATAATAAATAAATGGAAGATTTGAGTTGTCAAATACAGTTTTTGTAAAATAAAACTTCTTATTATTTGAATATTTATAAGTCGTAATTATATTATGAATTTAGCAGATAACTATGTTTAAATTTTTAATTTTTTAAATGTTTGTAGAGTATTTGAAAACGCAAGTATATGATAAGAAAATTCAAATTTTTTAATATTATATGCGCAATAATAATTGAAAATTTATGTTATTATTGCGTTTGGAATGCTGCATTTTTAATTATAAATGGAAACAGCTATTATATGGATGTTTAATATAACCCAGATATTAAAATAATATTATTTGTCGTTATTTTGACAACAAATAATATCAGCTTGCTATTTAAGAAATTGTATTTACTGAATTATTTTCAACGATTAATTGTTTTATCATCAGGAGACGCGGTAGCGTCTCCCGCCAAGTAAATTTTTTCGCTACGTGACGATCAGGAGACGTTTTCAGGAGTTGTACTTAACAGAGACGCTACAGTATATCCTTTACCGGACGGATAACGATTTGTAGAAATAAATTATTATTTCTTTCAATTATATGGATATTATCGGTAAATGCCTAATTTTGTGAAAAAATCTATATTTTTCCAATCACAATGCTGTAATAGCGATGTCCATAATGTGCATTTGATGCATAAGCGCATAAAGCGTATGCATTTTTTTGCCCGATTTTGTGTCATTCAGATACGTCGTCGTCGTCGTCAAATCAAATCATATAAAAAATAAAATGAAATAGAACATGACGTGAATTAAATAAAAAAATAAGGAATGATATAAGTAAAACAAATAAAATCATATAAACAAATCAAGAATGAAACAAATAAAATAAAAAATAAAATGCAATGAAACAAAAATAAAATGTAATAAAATAAATAAAAAATAAATATTAAAATGTAAAGTAGAAAAAACAGAATAAAATAAATATTTTGTATTTGTGTGAATAAGGTGTGAATGAGGTTTTCAGGAATGTAGCACTAATCATGACTGAAACGTAATTTTTCTAAAGTAGTTTTGTTTATCTTGATATTTAAACAATAAGAATAAAATGGTTTAGTAAACGCTGTATTTTATAATTAATCTAAAAAACCAAATTATCTTCAATATATGTATTATCTTCAATGTATAATACAATCACTAAAATCATTTTGTAAATATTATACCTCAAAAAAAATTTGTTGTATTAAATTTAAAAACATTCATATGGTATTATCTTCAATGTATAATACAATTACGCAAAATTATTTTATTATTAATGAAACACAAATTTAGCAAAAATTAGTGAAATCCGTGAAAAAGACGTGGAAATTACAAAATGATTTTGCGTGATTGTTATATAATAAAGATAATGTCACTTAGATTTTTTTGTAATTTGATAGCAGTCTTTTTTCGAGGTCGTATTATATATTTAAGATGATACAAAGATCTCATTTATTTTAATTTGATACAATTTTTTTGAGGTAAAAACGTTAAAAAATATACTTGGCGGTTTTTTTACATTTTTAATGTCTTTTTTCCATGGATATGATATGTATATACGTAATAACTGATACAAAAAAAAGAAAGCTTTTAGAAGCGTGACAATACAGCTTCGTCTATAAATAATGAAACTTGCAGCTGAAATAAAGTCAAATGAGTATTGAAAAATGATTCAGAAGTAAGTTGAGAATGAATTATATAATTTTATATTTTCTAAAAAACGTGAAAACACTTTTATGAGACAGTATTTTGTTGGAAAGGCATTCCTTTTAGCTCTCTGGAATTTTTTTCGCGTTAAAATCTTTAAACTTTGCAGTTTTATATACGAAAATTACGCCTACCTTTTTTTCTCTCTAAATTTGATATCAAGTGATTCATTTTTTTTTTTATTATGCCAAGAGGTAACACGAGATTTATTTCATTAGAAATATTAATTATATTGAGAGAAGTCTTTACGCGAACATTATTTCATTGATGATCACTAGCGCACTATAGAAGAGCGTTATTTTTCAAAATTTTATATTGTTCACGGTTCAGTTAATACCATAATATAATATATTTAAGTAACATTATGACAAATAATGTCATAATGTACATTGGTTAAGTAAAGCATGACACGTAAATAAACAGCAAAACAATTTTGCTATTTTTAACACTTTGGTAGTCGCATGTATGTTTCTCATTTAATTCGCATCGAGCATTTACAGATATGAACAACAAATATAAATGCAAAAGTTAAAGTTATAAATTATGTAACAAGTCATTCTGAAGGTCTACTTTCGATGATTCTGTGATCTGTCTCGAGATAGAATTTTACTTATAACTTTACGCGCCGCGTGTATAATACGTGAAATACTCAAAGAATCAAAATGGATACACGTAAAAAAATGTGTGCATAATGCTATTTTCGTAACAGCCATTGCAGATCTTATAATTATTGTCGGAGCTTTGAAAAATTAAGTATCCTCTCAATATGGTAACACATCGGAGATTCGTCGATAGATATTCCACTGATCTTCTGCGAGAGATTCTTCTCTTCTCGATTTAATGAACCAACAGAGATTGCGGAACACAGACATTTCGCATACTGGAATTGACAACCAGATAGTTAGAAATACACTAGAGAAAGAAAAGGGAAAAGGTCATTAAGCTTAAATTTTTATTGTTAGACGCGTGTGAATATGAATATATATTATACAGGGTATAACGGTCCGTACGATTTTTAAGACTCTTTCGGTAGTTTAAAAAAAAGATTGATACCAGGATTTTTTTCTGCTTCATGCAAACTACAGCGTGCGATAATTAAAAATTGAAAAAAAATTTTTTTAATAAAAAATTCAACGTTACCTTTTTTAAATGGACCTCCTCATTTTTTATTGCGTATTCTTGTAGCTTATTTCAAGAGCTTTCCAAAACACTTATCATTAAATAAAATGTTTTTTGGTTAAATAAATCTTGAACTATGAAGCTTGAAAGTTACAGCCGACATTGACATTATTCAAAATGCCCAAACAATGGTTAAAACCTTTTGAATGTTGATGTGAATTACAAGCTTGACAACATATGTCAAAGCACGTTGTTTAAAAATAAGAGCAAAAACCTTTAATGGCTTTAATCTTGAAATATGTTACATCAAGATCATGATAGTGAACAATATTAAGATATAATTAAAAGATTTTAGCCATTGTTCAGACATCTTGGATAATGCTAATATCAGTGGGACTGTGTTTCAAGCTTTATAATTCAAGATTACTTAGTCAAAAAACATTTTTATCTAAGCGTTTTTAGAAAGCTCTCGGAATAAGTTACAAGACTACGCATAACGCAGTAATAAATGGTGAATTTTATTTAAAAAATTCAAAGTGACCTTATTAAAAAAGATGTCTTTTAATTCTTATTTATCGCATATTGTAGCCTGCGTGAAGCAGAAAAAAATTACCTTATTAATGTGGTAATGGACGTCGGGATTAATTGATTTTTAATTTTGTAATTTTTAAACATTTGTAAAAAATTTTTATTTTGTAATGATTGTAATATTAATAAAAAATAATTAAATTTAAAATACATATTGACCAAAAACGAGTGGTGAAATTCAAGGAACTTCCCACGTACCGCACGTCCATTTTCTCAAAAGAGGAACTGCATACCACGTCTATTTTATAACATTGTCGATAAATCATAGCAAGAGGAAGGACATAGTGCGTTCCTTGAACTTCACCAACCGATTACAGTAGGATACGCACATGTCATAACTAACAATAAATGAGAGACCATAATCTGTTGCTCAATTCACTGAAGGTGATAAATAGTCGAAACGCCTAAGGTAGATAGCCTAAACTGAAGCACATGTGAGAGTAAAACTTGATTGATCGTTATAATATTTTAGTCGGCGCTCGTTGTTCATTAAAAAGTTATAAACAAAAAGAGTATAAATGGTTCCATATGGGTTTTCGACTTTCCACACGAAACGAGGTTCACCCAACACTTCTCGTGTTTACGGGATGAAATGATCGAGGTCTACAACTGCACTCAGGATCATGACGTTGATAACATATGTCAATATCAAGGTCATCGAAGAGTGGTCCATATATGTATATACATAATTACCGAATAAACATATTTTTTAATTATAAATAAATATATCATGAAATTTATAAATTTCAAATTACTTATTTCTTATTACTTTTTATTCATTTGGATCTGGATCTGGATCTGGATAAGCACCGGTATTGAAGAAGTCGAATACGCACGAATTGCTTTTATGGAAAAGCAACAATTTTATTGACTATACAGTTCTCGATCTGATTCTCATTTCTTATTGCATATTCTTGTAGCTTATTTCAAAAGCTTTCCAAAACACTTATCATTAGATAAAACGTTTTTTGGTTAAATAAATCTCGAGTTATGACTTTAAAGTTACAGCCGACATTGGCATTATTCAAGATGCCCAAATCATGGCGAAAACCTTTTGTATGTAATGTGAATTATAAGCTTGACAACATATGTCAAGATCATTAAAGACTGTTGCTCTTTTTTCACAAAATAAAAATAATTTTCAAAGATGAAAATAAGAGCAAAATCTTTAATGGCCTTGATCTTGAAATATGTTATGTCAAGATCATGATATGAACAATATTGAGATATAATTAAAAGATTTTAGCCATTGTTCAGACATCTTGGATAATGCTAATACTAGTGGGACTGTGCTTCAAGCTTCATAATTCAAGTTTTACTTAGTCAAAAAACATTTTTATCTAAGTGTTATTTAGAAAGCTCTCGAAATAAGCTACAAGATCACGCGTAACGCAATAAAGAATGGTGAGTTTTATTTAGAGAATTCAAGATGACCTTATTAAAAATAATTTGTTTTAATATTTATTTATCGCATATTGTAGCCTGCGTGAAGCAGAAATAAATTACCTTATCAATCATTTTTTTAAACAACCGAAAGTGTCTTAAAAATCGTGCGGACCGTTACGCTGAACACATTGTATAGTATAAAAGATATTTCCGGTTATTCGGTGACTTCTAACAGGTAAATCTCCAACGTTTCTCTCGAACCTTCGATTTTAGAATCGATTTTAGAATGTGTAAGCAACGCATGTAATACAGAAAATAATCTTATGACGCTTATCACGCACCAATTATATATAATAATTATCAAACAATATAAATTTTAAATCTAATTAAACTCATTTAGTATTACAAAAAGTAACAAAATATAATGAATCGTTACATTTTCAAGTGACGCGTTACTTTGAAGGTTAACGTTCCTAATCCAGCATATAATATAATCATTATCAATATCTTTATATAATTATTATTAACATCTTTCAGACACGCATAGATACAAAATAATCTTTTATAAAGTCTGCAATATATAATAACTACTACATTTAAATTTTTGTTCGCATATATAGAAAAACTTCCACAACATTTCGCTGAATGGGATGAAAGAACAATAAACGAGGACAAATAATAAAGTTGATGAAACTACCGTAAGCTATATTTTGATTGCATTATATGTTGTGATAGAATATATAATTAAATTGTTAAAAAAAATTATAACAATGTAATGATGAAAAATATAAATAATTCATTGAATCGCTTTAAATGCTTTCATCTATTTACAAATTGGTACAAATCTCACACGAAGTGGATGACTTGGGTGAAGTGTAATACCGACTTCTAGCTGAAGATTTTTTAAATAATCGACGGGCTCCAAATAAAAATTGTTTATTAGAGGGGCTGTTATTGCTTTTATTAGCATCATAGCAAATCGTTGACCTACGATAAATATAAATATAATAAGTATTACAATTTGTTTATGAGATATATATGAGATTTAAAAAAGTATGGCTTACCGAGACAATTACGTGGTCCAGCACTGAATGGTATATACGAATACGGATGACGATTTTGGATCTCCTCAGGCAAAAATCTATCCGGGTCAAAAGATCGGAAGAGCACACGT